CCCCCCCCCCCCCTCCGGATCCGGAAAACCGGGGGGGGTCACTACCGGTTCGAACCCCCCCCCCTCGAAAACCGAGTGGGGGTGCGGACAGTGGTGGGGACGGTGTTGGTGGGGACAGTGGTGAGGGGATAGCGGGACAGTGGTGGGGACAGTGGGACAGTGGGACAGTGGTGGGGACGGTAGTGGTGGGGACAGTGGTGGGGACAATGGTGGGGACAATGGTGGGAACAGAGGGGGACCGTGGACAGTGGTGGTGACGGTGGTGGTGGGGACAGTGGTGTGGGGACAATGGGAATGAGGTGGAAACAGTGGGACAGTGGAGGGTACAATGGTGGTGGGGACAGTGGTGAAGGCGGTGGCGAGGACGGCGGTGGGACAATGGGACAAAGGTACAGTGGGGACAGTGGTGGGGACAGTGGGGACAGTGGTGGGAACAGTGGGACAGCTCAGTGGGACAGCGGAGGAGTCAGTGGGACAGTGGGGACAGTGGGGATAGTCGGGCAGTGGTTGGGGCCGTGGAGACAGTGGGGAGAGTGGAACCGTGGTGGGAACAGTTCTGGGGACAGCGGGGACAGTGCGACAGTGGTGGGGCCACTGGTGGGGACAGTAGGGGCGGTGGTGGAACCAGTGGGGACAGCGGTGGTGAGGACAGTGGTGCTGGGAACACCAGCGGGGGATGTGATGCGGACGGTGGTGGGGACCGGGAGTCGTTTGCTGGCGGTGAGTAGGGGGGGGGGGGGGGGGGGGGGGGTTCGAACGGTAGTGACCCCACCCGGTTTTCGGATCTGGAATGGGGGGGGGGGGGGGGGGGACAAGTTTCGAAACCGGTAGTGACCCCTCCCGGTTTTCGAGCGGGAGGGGGGGGGGGGGGGGGGTTTATGGGAAGGGGGGTGGTTTGCGGGGGAAGAGGGGGGGGGGTGGAGGGGTTTCCCAGCAGGCGGGGGGGGGATTTTCGGAGGGGGGGGGGGGGGGGGGCCCGGGTTCCAGAGGAAAAGGTTGGCAATTTTCCACAGTAAAGCGGCGGTGGATCACGCTCTCTCGAAACTTGATGCCAGGGTCCTGCTCGGGCATACGCAGCGCGGGCAGCGAGGTGAGGCATCGGCCTCTCGCGGCGGCTCCACAAGCATATCCAGCACGCCGCCGAGCTTGCAGAAGTCGCTGTCCGAACGTGCCGTAAATCTGAAACCCGTAACACCCAGCTGCCTGTGCACCTTGGACCTCCAGGCGTGAGGTCACACGGTAACGCTTGGCTGCCTCGCATATCGTCAAATCTTAGTTGACAGCATCGCGTGCTTCTGCTCTCGCTTACGCCGAGTGGCTCGGGCAAGCCGAACACCGCATGCGATATCCACACCGAGGAATACTGCTTTGCTCTGCGGCACGATGGTGACTCCACCACGGCGCTGCACAGCCTTGCATGCCCAACGAGCGTCTGCCATGCGCGTGCACACCACGACTGATTTCGGCGAGACCTTGAGCGTATTGCATGCAAGTGCAGCGCAGGTGTCAATGATGCAGTCCCGAAGCTGCGTTCGCACTGCTGCACGGGAGCCACGAACCTGCTGTGACAGATCATATATCCATATCCTATGGCTGGTCTGAGGATGGGCCGTGACTACTCCGCGCAGAACGAAGTGCGCCATGATACGCCCAAACCTCGTGCCCGACCGAAGACCTTGCGCGATACTCCTCGTCGGCTGGAAAGGCGCCGACGAGGCGCCGGGTTGACTCAGAACCCTGGCCGAAACACATTGCAATCATTCCAGGTATGGAATCCGAGGTGGGAACTGCATACGCAACGCACTTCTGACCAGATACGGCCATTCTATTGAACCATAGAAGGATAACATATCGCAGAGTCCGCGCCCAACCTCAACACTTAAGCTTGCCGCACATCTCTTCCTGAACAGCGCGAAGGTACTCTTCTCGAAGACTTGAATTGCCCCGTGCAGCAGCATCCCACCCCTCCTCGGTCTCCTCCGACCAGTCCCTCACCAAAGGCTCCCTGATAAAGGACCAGAGGCGACCGAGGAGGGGGGCCAATCCGATGATCCGATCCCCAGAGGACTTGACTTTTTGGGGAGCATCCTCCCCAAGATGAGCAGCAGCTGAGCTGGCCAGCAGAGGCATTGTTCACACGCCTCGAAGACCAGAGCTAGTTCTGCAATCGCACAGTCGGGCAGGCGCTCCAGGTCGAGCGGCGTGACGAAGTCCACGCCCATGCCCGTGCCTGGACGCGCCCTCCGAAGCGCCCGTCGGATCTCTTCCACCGTGATGCTGGGCAGCGGGTCGCCCTCCGCGGCCGCCTGCACCTCGGCGAAGGCCTGGATGACCTCGTCCTCCACCATGGTCGTGGGGGCCCATAGCCGATGCCAGTGCTGGGCCTTAGCATCGATGATGTCCATCGGTTGGAACAGCCCCGCTCCCTCATGCTCCAGCTCGTCCGATGGCTGGGGCATCGGATTGAGAGACCTGTGCAGGCGGCCCAACGACGCACGGTCCTCCACGAAGTCCTTGAACTCCAACAACGATTCCTGAATAGCCCGCCTTTGACTGCGAGCGCTAACCCTCTTCGCCGCGAGCACAAAGTACGCCAACTCGGCGTCTGCTGCTGATCCGATGCCATGCAGGAAGCACAGCCACTCATCCCAAGGACGATCCTTGGTCTCCAGCAAAGCCTTCTGAACCTGGTCGGGGCGAACATCCAAGCGACGGCGACATGATTTGACATGCTTCCGAACCTGACTAGCTCCATTCTGTTTCGTCCGATGATGGTGAATGCCATGCAACAACGTGTGCAATTGTGTCCACCAACAGTTGATGATGTTCCGAACTGGCGCGACTCTCGTCTTGGTTGCCATTCGCACTGGCTGAACAGAGAACTGCACTCCATCCGCTCGACGAGGCCCAGCTGGGACCTGGACGCCATGGTGGCATGCGATAGTATTCCCAAACGACGTGATCCAAGAAGAGTAGAGCCCCGATACAGAAGTGATCAAATCAGGCTTAAGCCGAAATGCTGCGGAATCACGCAAAGCAGGGGCAAGGGACTGAAGACGGGTGGCCCCCGAAACAAATCCTACTTCCTCTTTGCGCCGAGCCCGCGTAGCCTCGGGGATGTGAAAGCTTGGCCTATCGCCGGCCTGACTCGAAACTCCTCCAGAGTTGTCGGGGCCCAACTCCCGAGAGGGGGCCAGGGTCTCGCGAGGCGGCGGAGGGCCAACCGTGGAGCAACGAGCTGACCCCGAGTCCACAGTCGAGCGACCCCTGCCCGCTCCCGAAGTACCTTCACCACCCTCGTGAGACACAGTAGAAGAAGCAAGCACAGGTTGGGGGCCAACGGCGAAAGCCGACGACGACGCGCCACCACGAGGACCCCCAACAGCGGAGTGATTGGATGCGTGCAGGGCCTGACCGAGAGAAGCGTCGGGGCAGAAGTTGAGCTCTTCAGCCCAGGGGTCCTCTTCGTCAGGCCATTCGGAGTAGTCAAAACCGCACTCGTCACCTTTTAATTCAGCACCTACAGTACCATTGGCAGCCGCGGGGGGGGGGGGGGGGGGCCCCCGGCCGCCGCTTTCACCCCGGGATCCCCCTCCGACAGGTGCCCCCCTACAGATTGAGCACAATCACCGAACAAGGAATTAACATTGAGCTAGCCGCTTATCCACGGAACCTGAAACTATCATGCTTACGTGCTTTGGCGATGCTAGATTTCGATCCAGCCGTGAGGGAAACCGCAGTGGGCCTCAGGGAACTTTTCGGGGGGGGGTGGCGGGGTGGGCGGGGTGGTGGGGGGGGGGGGGGGGGGGGGGGTCGGCTCGCGGGGGGGGGGCTTCCCAGGGGCTTCCATGGCCCGCGTGATGAGCTGCTCGCCATTGCCCCTGAGGGCCAAATGCAAGCCTACATGGGGCCCCCACGGCACAGCTGCAACTGGCTGCAAATCGACAACGAACGGGCGTGCCGACTCACTACACATGAGATAATCAATGTGGGTCCCAGCTGCTAAGTTGCAAGTTGCCTGGATGTCGGCCTGAACAATGACCCCTCCTACCTTTTTTGCCAGACCTGACTTCTGGAGTTCCTGCACGCACATGTTCCAGTCGCCGATGACTGCCCACGGGAGCTGCAAAGCGAACAAGAAACCAGCCATACGGCGAAAGCGGCCTATGTTGAGGCCTCGCATGCCCAGGCTGGAGTGGGCGTAGAAGGTGACCACGACGATGGAATACCCTCTGCAGTGAACAACTTGCGCTGCGAAGCCGTCCGTGCACTTGTGCGCTGGGGCCTGCAGACGAGAGCCCGCATTTTTCCAGGCACCAACTCGATGCACCTGCAGATGTCGACGTGACAGGAGAAACTCGCCACCCTCGTTTGCGTGCTCCTCCTGGCCCGTGGAACTCTTGCAACCTTCCCGCTGTCGTGCAGCATTCGGTGTTAGACGGTAGCCGTTCTCCTTCGCCTTCGACTCCCGCTTGTGAAGGCCAGGCGCTGAATGAATCTGCGTCTCGATCAGAACGTACAGGTCATACTGGGCAGCGGACTGCTCGGCGAAGGACCAGGCCTTATCCCCCGTGCATGATGCATTAGAATAGAATTGTATGTTTGTAAACTGTCTTTATCTCCCCCGCGTCCCTTCTTCTGCCTGGCCGTCTGTTCCATAACCGCTCTTGCTCAAGCTCTCAGGATAAGCCCCCTTCTTCCTTTGAGCTCTCTCGGCCTTTGGCGAGGGAGGAGGCGGGCCGCCATCGCGAACAGATACTTCTGTTTGCTGTCCAGCCTGCTCGTCCTCGTGTTCAACGAGAATCCGCCCTGGGGCGGAGAGGACGAGCAGGCCAGTGCGGAGGAGTGCGACACAGAGACTGACTGAGGGCGACTTCGTTCCATTTCCGGGGTTCACCTTGGCAGGGTCCGCGGACGAAGGAGTCGACTTCGGTGCTGAGATAGATTCCATCCTGATTGCGGGTATCGAGGCCAAAGGGCTGCCGATCTCTGTCCTCGAGATGGTGTGGAAGAAATGGAATCGAGCGTATCTACAGACGGGGGATGACTCGGCGGTGGTCCTCATGCTGGTGCACCCCGTGCCGGGCAAGGTCGGGACCTGGACGGTGGTCGACCCCGCCAAGCGAGTTCAGCTTCAGGACCTCCGGTCTCAGAGGATCCATGCGAAGCCGAAGGCCAGGTGGCAGCTGGCGCCCTTCGATGGGCTCACGGCTGAGCAGAAGGAGAAGGCAGAGGCGGACTCGGTGAAGCTGATCAGGAGGACCGCGGGCGACTCGTGGTTTTCGATTCCCACGAGCTTGACCAAGCCCCAGAAGGAGAAGAGCAAGCCCAAGGGAAAGGGGTCCTCGAAAGGAAAAGGGTCTAGCAAGTCCAACTTCGTGCGGTGGCTCGCGCAGACCGTGGTGACCGTCGGCGGGGCCGTCTGGAGCTACAAGTTCGTTGGGACCTTCGGCCTGGGGTGCTTGCTCAGCTACAAGGCCTGGAAGTTCTTCGGGACTGAGGAGCTGATCGACGACAGCATGAATGCACTGAGGTCGGCTTCAGAGACTGCTGAGAGGGCGACTGACACTTATGACAATTTTGTTGAGCGCTGGGAAGAGGGAGGTTTTGATTCGATGATCCTTGGCGGCCTGGCGGTGGCCTTCGTCGCCATGTTGGTCTACTCCCTCGGAGGTTGTGACGTGAAGAAGAAGCGCTTCAACGGAGAGGGCTTCGTCACCGATTCTGACAGTGAGGGCTCTGTTGACCTCGGCACGGCTGCTTCGGACACCGATGATGACGATGGGCTCATGAGGCACCCTGGCATGCGTATGCTTCTAGAACAACAGGCGGAGCTTCAGAGCCAGATCGCGAGGCTGTCGGCTAAGAAGACGAGTGACAGCGGTGACGAGGGCGACGCGAAGTTCACGGCCGCGCAGGAGGACGAGTCTGTCAAGAAGGGTATCGACAAGCTGATGGCGAGGCTGATGGCGCATGAGAAACAGGTCTCGGACGATCAGGGTGGCGCTGGCGGGGCGGTGCGAGGTAAGGTGGTGTCATCACTGGACGGGCAGAGCACCTCGGCAGTGAAGAATTTAGTCTTGCAGGGTCAGCCTGGGAAGTCGGTCGACCACTACATCCAGGAGCTGGAGCAGGAGGCCCGCGATCCGCGGGCCGCCATGTTGTCCCAGCTGAAGCAGTATGAGACCGCGGACTGGAGCATTGGCCCGTCGCAGTCTCGGATCGCTCCCATGGTCCTGGCCAGGATGTATAAGTTCGGGACGAGCGCCAAGTTCCAGGTCCAGCAGTATGTTCGGTCGAAGGAGCTGGAGTCATGCCATGCTGCAAGCGAGATGGCGCTGATGGCCGCCATCCTGGACAGGATGTTGAATGCCGACCAGGACATGGTCAACAGCCAGGCGGTCGAGGTCATCTGCAGGCGCCTGTACGGTCTCTTCCGTGCGTTCGAGGATGTGAAGAAGCAGAGTGATTGGAAGCAACCACGCGGTGAAGGTGGGAAACGCTGGAAGAGCAAGGTGCGGTGGGAGCTAGCAGACGAGTACGACGCGGTCGCGCTTGAGAGCGACGACTGGGCCATCACAGACGCCGGCGAGGAGGTTCGCAAGCGCCTGGAGCGGAAGGCTTTGTTCAACAAGTACCTTGACAAGGCCTTCCCCGACGGTGGCAAAGACAGCTCCGAGTAGGGGTTGCCTGCCTCTCCAGCGGCGGGAGGGGTGCAGGCAAGCGCGGAGCGTCGCCGCCTTTGCTTTGTGCTCTTCAAGTACCTGTTCAAGTTCGTGATCTTGGTAGCGGTCCTGAGCGACCTCTTCTGCGGCTTCGGCGTGGGCTCTGTGCACAAAGTTTTTCAGCCTGCCGAAGTCGGTGGCCCTTGTCGTCGGGAGCGTGTGCTTCGGGATGACCCTGGGTTCAACGCGGAGGCCCGCAGGTGCGGAGGCTCGTGTCCGAGACCCTCTGTGCAGAGTGCCTCGGGCTCCTTTCTGCGTGGGGGAGGACCTGGGGGGGGGGGCTCCAGCGCGGACATCAGCTTGACGATCAAGAGGGTCAACAGGTCGGTGAACGCCATCTCGTACATGTACCGCGGGGTGCTGGACGGGGTGAGGGGCGAGACTCTGAGAGGGACTCGTTCATCGTGGAGAGGGGCCTCGGCCGCTCAGAGGGAAGTGGTGCGGGACCTCTGGAGTCGCTGGCGGGCCCGAGCATCGTGGGGAAGTCTCGCCGACGGAGCGCCAGTCTTAAAGCAGCTGGCGTCGCGGGCCGTCGGATGGTATCAGGCGAAGGAGAAGGAGGGAGCGGCCGCGGGGCCGCAGCGTGGCGACATGTGCCCTATGAAGGCCAGCGAGGTGTCCCTCCCGCCGCCGGGGTCAGTGCCGATCCCGATCGAGACCATGTCGCCGTCGAGTCGCCCGTACCTGAGGGAGCCGATAAGGACGATGGTGCTCGGCGACCACGAGGTAGACTGGGCGGCTTACGACATGATCAAGCCGTACAGCGACCCCAGCCTGAAGCAGAAGCAGGTGAAGCTGGAGCTGCTGGAGAGGCTGGCCGAGTCAGGTATGCTCGGGATGTGCGACGAGGTGGTGGAGGAGGTAAAGGTTTTCACAGTCCTGAAGAAGATCGACGAGAAGACGGGGCAGCGGAGCTCGAGGCTGATTTGGGACATGAGGAGGTCCAACATGAGGTTCCGGAGTCCGCCCTGGGTTGCCATGGGCTCGGCTGCGGCCCTTTGCGGGGTCGACTTGAGTTCGAGTGTGTGTGGAGACTTGGAGGTGACCAGCTTCGTCGGGGATGTGCCGGACTGCTTCTACAAGCTGCTCTTGCCGGAGGGGCCGTGGGGCCACTTCGGCTTCGAGGGCGTGTCTGGAGAGGAGTTGCGGGCGCACCTGCAGAAGCGAGGACGGCAGGACCTAGTCGAGCAACTCGGAGGTGGAGTTCGAGTTTGTTTGCGGGTGCTCCCCATGGGCTTCTCGTGGGCGGTCTTCTTTGCCCACTCGGCTCTGCAGGACGTGATGGAGGGCGACGGCGGGCTGAGCGTGGCAGGGGGGGTGCAGCATGGCGCTCCCCCTCCCCAGTTCTATCGCGAGTCGCTCTTGCGCTGGATCTTCATCGACGACTATGCGGGGCTCCGTCTCGAGCCCAAGGATGTCGCGGTGGAGCAGCTTCAGGTGAAGAAGGACGGAGCGAGGGCCAGGCTGGCCCTGGAGGCGGTCGGGCTGTCAGCTCACAAGGAGGACGTCGGACGGGGCCTCGAGCGCTCGTTATGGGGTCACCCTGGACGCGGACAGCAAGGTCTTGCAGGTGGTGGAGGAGAAGATCCGCGTGGCGGTGCTGGCTACGGAGGCGCTGCTGAAGCAGGACCGGGCCGTCCCCGCGGCGGTCGAGTCGCTGATGGGTCTCTGGGCATGGATCTTCACCTGTGCGAGGGGGGCCATGAGTGCGCCTCACCATGTTTACAGGTGGATCCAGGAGTACCGAGGCGAGCAGGAGGCCCCCCTGTGGGCCGAGGTCCTCGACGAGTTCTTTGTCATGGTCTCCTTGTCGGTCTACTACGGGACCTTCCTGGGGTCCGAATGGCACGAGTGGATCTTCATGACGGACGCGAGCCACCTGGGTTTCGGTATCGTGGCGAGCCGCTCGGACGTGAACGAGATGAGGGCCCTCTGCGAGGCAGGCGACGAGCAGGGATGGTCGACGCAGCTTCACGAGGCCTACTCGGGAGTGGAGGAGGACGAGCTCGACTACGTCACCCCGACCTGGCAGCATCAGGCGAGGGAGAAGCATGCGCGCGATGCTCGAGATGGGGCTCCTGGCTTTTGCGAGCTGTTCGCTGGTTCAGCTCGTCTGTCGGGAGCCATCGGGCGAGCTCGCCCGAGCTAAGTGGAGCCCTGGGAGATCGAGCAGGGGGCCCGCTACGACCTGGGGGACTTGGCGAACCTGGGGAGGCTCTTCGTCGACCTGGCCAGGGGCGTCTACTGGCTTGTGCGTCTGGCCCCGCCCTGCGCCACGTGGTCGCGGGCGCGCGTGCCCAAGCTGCGGAGCGCGACGGAGATCTGGGGCCGCTCGGGTCTCTGCGAGGCCGAGCGGGAGCAGGCGGACAACGGCACCTACCTGATGATGATAGCGGTGGAGGTGATGCTGGAGTGCATCAAGCGGAACGTGGGGTTCAGCATGGAGAACCCCGCCTCGTCGATGTGCTCCGCTGATGAGCGTGATGGAGTCGGAGGGTGTGCACCTGATCTACCTGGACTTGTGCATGTTCGGGACCGAGTGGAGGAAGCCGACCAGGGTGCTCACCAACGTCGCGGAGTTGAGGAGGCTCGGTCGGCGATGCCATGGACGTGCGAGCTGCTGTTCGCGCACTGGGCAGCCTCATCGGTCTCTGAGGGGAGGCGTGCCGAAAGGCATTCCAGAGTATGCGGACAAGGTGGGGTGGCGCTGGACCAAAGTGGCGTGCCCCTACCCCGACGAGCTGTGCGAGGAGTACGCGAGGTTGGTGGCGCCCCGAGCGCCGCTGATGGCCAGACCAGGGGCAGTGCTGAGGGCCGGGAGGCCCCTGCTGCTAGGAGCGAGAGGGCTGGCGCTGGCCGAGGACGTGCCCGACTCAGTGGCGCACGCGGACCGCTGGCACCTGGTGGTCTCAGGCACCTGGGATCGCGAGGAGCACCAGAACGTGCTGGAGTGCAGGACGGTGGTGATGGTGTTGCGGCGTCTGGCGCGTTGTCGGAGGAACTGGCACCAGAAAGTCGTCGTGGTGACCGACAGCCTGGTGACGATGGGCTGCCTGAGCAAGGGGCGCTCGTCGTCCTGGCCATTGCTGCGGCAGGCAAGAGTGAGTGGGATCATCCAGTTGGTGCTAGGGATCCGCCCCAAGTTCCGCTGGGTCAGCTCCGAGCGGAACGTGGCGGACGGCCCCTCACGTGGAGCAGCGCTGGGGCCCGACCCGGACACGATCAAGAAGGGGAAGGCCCAGGCGCGCGGACTGCCGCGTGCGGCGAAGGCACGACTCCAGAGACTTCCAGGGCACCGCCAGCGAACAGGCCACCACTGGTAGTCTGGATTGTGGTGCTCACGACGGTGCTGCAGGTGGAGGCTGGACGCAAGGCTGATCCCCTGAGCACGGAGCTGGCAGGTGAAGAACGACAGTTCGAGTTGCCCAAGCCTGCGTCCTCCTTCGTGCCCTTACGCAAGAGGGGGCCGCGTGCCTGGGACCGCCACAGTGACTACCCCTTCCAGGACCTCGATCTGCTGGTGAACAAGTTGCTGGTGCACAAGGTCACCGACAGCACCAACAGGATCTA